TAGAGTTAAAGATAAATTGTAGTGGGGCTTTCTCAAACAGTACTGTTATCAGAGACAAACAGCATAAAACCAACTTCATATTAGCTAATAAAACGATTCTTACACAATGTACTTCTGACATTTCTGCTGTGGGACAACGATTTAACCTTCGTTTTAACATGGTTAACTGGTAACAGGACTGTAACAGAACATCCGCTGCGTCAGACATCAAAAAGATATTACCAGTTATATGGTTATAAGTTCTCAGACCGTAGGTGTTACGAACTTACTGGCATAATTTGAGCGACGAGTCAGATTGATTCATTATAAATTATTTAAATTAATCCCAGCGTGTTCAAGAAGTAATTGATACAGTTATTTTCTTGAATTCACAATATTTACCCATATTTATAGTTTCGGATAGGTTTCTTCTGTCACCTCTGAAGAATCCCGAACTAGGATGGGATTGATTGATTTTCACACTGGTATCTGTTTGTGACGCAATCTATACTAGGAATTTAACCATTCGTTTTTTTAAATACAGAGGGGTTATAAGTACCCAGACCGTAGATGTGTTATGAATTTTCTGGAATAATTTGAGCCCTGAGTCGGATTGAATCATTATATATATTACTTAGCATAATCCCTGTGTGATTTCTTCTACAACCTACTGGGATTATTTTAAGCAGTTTATTAATATGGCAGGGTGAGAGAGATAGTTCACAGTTAAGGAATCGTGTTCAGTCTTTCCTTAATCAAACAATAATAATAACATTAATGATAAGGAAATCCTCAAGTATTGGTTTTTGCAGGGGTTTTGTTTGATTGGATGGAGGATTTCATCATGAGCTGATATCAGTTAGAGAAACACTGGAAAGCTAATTGGGAGTACTGGATAGCTCAGCTCATGATGAAATCCTCCGTGCAATCAAACAAAATCTCTACAAAACCAATACTTGAAAATAAATCTGGTGCTCACTACCAACTGGCCGCATTCAGGTAGGTAGTTACCTTGGGTTCTAGTGGGAAGCCGTGACCATTAGGGTACAGCAGGTTGAAGATGAGACAGTAACTCGTCGAAGAAGACATTGAGAAATAGTCGCGTTATGTCGTGAATTGGCAGAAGTTAGAATTCATGGGCTAGTCATTGGATCGAGTCCTAGTAGCTCAATGGTCTACGAGCTAGCTCGCCTTGTAACCAGAAGGTCCTGGGTTCGAACCCTGGTGGTGGGTACGTGCTGTTAAAGAGTCCCAAACCAGTGTGACAAAACAGCTGTCCAGTACTCCCAGCTGGCTTTCCAGTGGTTCTGTAACTGATGTCAGCTCATAATGAAATCCTCCATCCAATAATGAAATCAAAGATGATCTACAAGTGAGAGACTCTGCGTAGATGACTAGGAATGGTTTATTCAGGTCAAAGAAAGTACACTTGTCATTCATGTTTATGTATTCAAAATGTCTGGAACAAAAAAATTAATAATCAAGACATTCATAATATATGTATGGCATAAAGTTCACACAATGATCAGTATTTTGTTTAATTTTAACTGATACATTAGCTTATTATTATTATTACTATTGTTTTATTGTAATTTAATACATTTTGTAAAATAGAATTCTGATTTTCATCTGTTTTTCTAACAGAATGTTTACATTTGTATACTGTGTATTAGTTAGACAGAGAATTACTAAATCTTTCAACATCTGGTTAAGTTATACTGTTAAATTACCTTCATAGTCACAGTTGTTTGTTATTAGGTGGTTGTAGGCAGTAGGCCACAGGAAGCCTTGTCTGTCACTAGGTTTCGTGCTAGTTGGCACTCACCAGTCAGTCAGTAAGCAAGGCGTCTCTGCAACCTTAAAGGAACTCATGTCCCCTCTGAGATTCGAACCCGCATCACCCACTGCTGCTGCCTTTCTGACCAGTGAGTGCCAACTAGCACGAAACCTAGGTAGAGCAAAGTTTCCTGTCGCCGATTGCCTCCAACCATCTAATATCATCGAATCAATGTGCACGATGATGGCGAGATACCTAGAATGGTGGCCACATTACAAACCTGACTGACTGATAGAATCCAGTCTGCATCAAAGCAAGGACAAGACACATCACACTAGTTACTAATTTCAAACCGAAATACAAGTGTTTATACTATGTTGGGGAGGGGGGGTGTGGATGCCTATGGGAAAAATCGCACTGCTGTGAAATAGGGATATAATATCAGATCCTTCAGATGACCAGTATGCTAGCTTTGCTGCATTTTCGCTGTGGAGAGAAGGGTAAGAGTTATAAAATACTGACGCCGAAAATAATACATATTGACTTATCTTCTGGCAGTTCTCAGACGGCGGTAACCTCTTAACAATGGACGCAACTCCAAAAACTTATAGTCATAATAAGCTACTTCTTAGAATGTTGAGATGGGTTTGAATTGAAATAGAATTTTAAGATTATTTCACTTCACGTACATCACAACATTCTAACAAGTTACTTATTTATTTTGACTATAAAATCACTCGTCTTACTTCCCATCTGATTGATTGTATTTGATCAATAACACTCATTATTTCTGAATGTACTTCATCTTATATTGATTTTTATTCAAATGTCTAGTCATCAATTTCACTCATGTATACAAATGAAGCAAGAAAGTTGTGTGAGTCAGTGAGTGACTTGATATGATTATGAGGGGTAATGGTTTGTGCTCGAAATGTAGTCGTGATATGTATCCATGTATATGGTGGTCTCTCTTTCTGTTGCTCTCTTAGTCCGTGACCATTTCACTTTGATGAACCTGTCTCCTTTAACAATGTATATTCCCTTTATATTATATATAATATGTGTGTTTGTTGACAGTCTGATCTTGGTGATATATATATCCATATAATATGTGTGTTTGTTTGACAGTCTGTTATATTTCGCTATGTAAATATGGATCGATACTCCATTATAACTAGCCAATCATGTTAAGACTGTCTATTGTATTGTTCACACACTTGGTTGGACATTCATATATATTTTGCTCTCACACTATTGTGTGATACATTTGATTCTCCTTGTGTTTGGAAAATATAAGTATCATCGCAAACCTAGTGGTCTTCTGATTTCCGTCTTTCTTGCGTCAGGACTATTAAATTCTCGACCAGTACATAGCAATAATTTGGCGACGAGTACATAACAATTTGGCGACGGGGAAAACTACTATTAACCACTCAGCAGCAGCTACATAACAGGTCGCATCAGTTAATATTACTTACTTTATAACACCACTGTGTGATTTATCAAAACAAAATCTTATCCATAATGGAGTTATACTCTACCAGCACAGTGACCAAGTTCTATACGTATATCAAGTCAAATTGGAATTGTATACTATCACAGTGTCCAACTTTCGCATATATATATATATATATATGTTGTGTACCTTATTGTATCAACGTCGGTGATCTTCCAATGAATAACAATCTAACAGACAAATTAAGAAGGAAAATAAAAGGATTCTCGTTCATTGTCACAATTAAATAACTATTTAACTGGATACATATGCTTCTTAGACGAGAAAAATCGATATCTGATTAGATCACAAGAAATTAAAAGTATTTATAGCTAATACATAGAAAGTGTACTATGCAAAACACCTTAAGATTGTCACATATATACTGCTCAGCTTTTATGAATAAAGATCTCCAAGAGGTCTAGAAGTGGAAAGCAGATATAGATGAGTTAGTAATCAAACATTTATACTGTGGTGAGACCTGTCTGCTAGCCAATATTGGTAGACAGAAATTTACGTCAATGTTTATGTCCCAAATCTTGGTCATGAGAAAAAAAAACACGAACAAAGACTAACTCAACAACCAATCACAGAAGACTTTGCGCGGGCGGATACGATTCGCAAATATATGGTCTGACCTTGAAAAAAATGGCCACATAAAGATGACAGAATAACCTTCAGCAAGAAAACAACCAATCAGGAGACGCTGTTACTCTGCTAATAATAATGTACATAAAAATCTATAAATATCTATTGATTTTCTCAATAAACGATCTGCAGCCTGCCCTTTGTCTTCTCTCGTTACAATACTTTTTAGTAAATAACTCTCAGCAATATAGTTATCCATACGTACACTTCCATACAATCACACACACACACACAATACAATAGGATAAAGTAAATGCTATTGAACAGCAATATAATAATAGGTTAAGAAGTAGACATTAATCACTATATCTTTGTTCATTGAATCAATAACTGACAAATGATAGGAATGATGAAAAATATTATTATTATTATCATTATTATTATTCTAGGATACATGGGAAGTTGTATTCATGAAAGGCATGAGGAAGTAGAACAATATTAATGCAAGTTAGGAATTCATGTGACTCCATAACCTTTGGTTATGAGCAATGAATCATGCTAGAAAAAAAACATCATCTGGTTACTGATATCGTATCATTGGATATCATAGTCAATAAATTTATACATCGTAAACAAGCAGTTACAGGGTAAGTAATGCTCAATTATAAGAACCATATATTTCAAACTCTCTCTGTGTACATGTGACCCATAATACATGGGTTTATTAGTTAGTTAGTTTACTGGCATCTACAATTCTTGATCGTTATTTCAGGCTAAATGTAATCACAGAACTCAAAAATAAAATAAAAAGAAAAAATAAAGTAGAGTCAGTACTCATTTATATTATTTTATACTTTATTTTATCCCTTTGACTTCACATTGGAACATAGGGCTTCAAGCTAGAGTCCTGAAGTTTAGGCAGAATTGGTGTTTATTTTTACAGGATGGGTTTGCCAGACTCATGCCCAACCTTCCCTCTTTAGCAGTCTTATTACTGGCTAAGCGAGGCAAAGGAGTGCGTAAGTGGCCAGAGATCGTACCCCGAACCAAGTGAAGGCATGGTTGGCGAGCATTCTATCGCTGTGCCACCCAAGCAAACTAATTTATAAAAACAAAAGCACACAAAAAATACACGTTAAAATAATTTTCAGCTTGACTTACTAGGCCAGTTTGATTAATCAGACAGGCGATTTCTCGAAAAGTTGGATTTCCTGAAGAATTTTGCATTAATACTTTTACAGTATCCATTGGATGACCAACTGTTAAACCAGCTAATCCTTTCAAATATTCATTATGTATTTGATAAGTGAATAATGAAAATAAATAATGATAATAATAATTAACTGTTTAAATAGATAATAACAGTAATTAATAAAGATAAATGAAGATGGTTTTATTTTGACAAAGTGTCACACAGTGGTGTTATACAGTAATATTAACTGATGACGACGTTTCGAGCACAAACTATTGCCACTCATAATCATCATATCAAGTAACTCACTTACACAACTGTTTCTACTTGATTTATATACATGTGTGGAAGTGATAATTAGACATTTGAATAAAAATCAATATAGGATAATGTATTATTATCATTGCTCCCTTGGGTTCCTAGTGTAACATACGGCTTCAACTGCACGTCTACACTTGCCACTTCTGTCTTCCTTCTGCTGTACTTTTCACCTGCATCCATGTTAGTCCATACTGTTTCAACTCCTCTTCACACCATCTCCTCTATGTCATCCTTGCACTGACGCCCCACTCGCCGCTTCCCTTTCGGCCTGGTTCCACTCGAAGGCTTGACGCGCGATGTCACCCAGCGATCTCCTCAGCGAGTGTTAAATCCATCTCAATCCACTTTCTCCCGCATATTTGTCGGGCGATTGGTTCTTCTTTTGTTTGTTCCCATAGTTTCTTGTTGGTGATTCTTTTCAGCCCGGCTATCTGACTGGTCTTCAGTATAGAGCCAGCGAAGACAGTTGTTGTTGATAAAGGTCTGCAACAGGCTGTTGGGAATATTCTTCATGACCCGTCCGCCAAATTTCTGATCCGTTCCGTATAGAAGAACTGACTGGCTTGACGTTTGCATTGAAAATCCGACTAAATTTTGTTGTAGATGCTGACTGAGTGACGAAGATTTCCAGATTGGTTTCAGGTTGATGAATGTGTGGGTTTCTCGCCCGCCTTCCCGATTCTTGCTCGATTTGATATCCTCGTCCGTTCCGACTTTCTTTAGTTGAGACAATGCTCCCTAGATAAGTAAGTGAACGAAGTAACCTCTTTCGAATCCCTCGCATTAATGGTGATTGGCTCTGTATGTTGCTGCTGTTGTTGTTGTTAGTTGGTTATTTTCATAACCTCCGTCTTGTCTATGTTCACCTGGAGTCCTGTCTTCGCTGTCTGCTTCTTCGACCAGTTTGTCGGTCGGTTTTCGCTTGTAAGTCTTCGATTTTGTGTGACACCAAGCATAAGTCATCCACGCGCGAAATCCAGGTCTTCTAGGTTCTTCACGTCGGTCCGGGATATCCGTGTCTTCTCGTTTCCCACTGTGTGACGCATAACCTAGTCCACCACAATTAGGAATATCATCGTGGGTGATAATAAGCACCCTTGTCTGACTCCTGTGTTTACTCCAAACACCTCGCTGAGTTTTCCGTTGTGGATCACTTGACATGTGCCGTTTTCGTACAGCTGTTGAATAAGGTTGATGAATATTTGGGCGCTTCACGCCGTAGTACTCGAGTAGTTTCCAAATTACTTCGCGGTCAACGCTGTCTGTCGAAGGCCTTCCCAAAGTCGATAAAGTTGAGGTAGAGGTTTGATTGCCATTCCATGCTTTGTTCTGTGATGCTGATGAGTAGAGTTGCGATGTGGTCAGAACATGATTTGCCTTTCCTAAATCCAGCTTGTTCTGGTCGGAGTTCTATATCCAGTGCGTCCTTTATTCTCTCCAGGATAATGTAAATTCAGAAATAATAATATGAGTGTTATTGATCAAATAGAATCAGATGGGAAATAAGACGAGTGATTTTATAGTCAAAATAAATAAGTGACTTGTTAGAATGTTGTGATGTACGTGAATTGAAATAGAATTTTTAGATTATTTATTATCCTCCCCTGGTTTGACTGACTGGTGGTAACATTGATTTTTTATTCCAATATCTAATCAATTCCACTCATGTATATAAATGAGGGAAAAAGTTAATTGAGTGACTTGATATGATTATGAGTGGCAATAGTTTGTGCTCGAAACGTGATCGCATCAGTTAATATTACTTACTTTATAACACCACTGTGTGATTTATCAAAACAAAATCTTATCCATAATGGAGTTATACTCTACCAGCACAGTGACCAAGTTTTATACATGTATCGAAAATAATTTTGAAAAGAAATTTGTTAAAATTAAATTAAAATCTCCATAACTGAACTCACTTTTCATGAATTGATATGTAATGGGTAGTCAAAAAAATAAAAGACTATGCGACGCTTCAAGATCTTTTTTGAGGATGTGGTATCTGAACAGTGTCAGGCCTTTTGAATAGCATAATTTTTTATTTTTCAATCTCTACTGTTTCACTTATATACATATACATAGTATAGCCAACACATGCAACACATTTCTTTGTCATGATCACCTTGTTCTAGCTAGACTCTATGATTTGATGACATATTAGACAGTTGGAGGCAATCGGTCATAGGAAGCCTTGCTCGACCTAAGTTTCGTGCTAGTTGCCACTCACTAGTCAGCAAGGCGTATCTGCAACCTCAAAGGATCTTATGTCCCTTCCGAGATTCGAACCTGCGTCACCCAGTGCTGCAATCAGAGACGTTATCACTGAGCTATTCGGGCTCGCGATTGACCTCCTGTAGGACTGTAGTGGATATTTTGATTGGATACTGGTAAGTAGCATGATGTGTCTAGTCGTTTCTTCACTACAGACTGAATTCTATCAGTCAGTCAGGTTTGCAATATGACCATCATTCTAGGTAGGTCGCCATCAAGGTGCACATTGATTTGATAGTATTAGATAGTTGGAGGCAATCGGCCACAGGAAGCCTTGCTTGACCTAGTGTTCACGATGGCTGACACTCGTTAGCAAGATTCTATGATTTCACTGATTCATTCTGTATGACACCGTAGTCTGCTAATTAAGACGTAACAATTTCCAGAGGTGATATGTTGTTGCTGTTGTTTTTTTATTTAGATTAAACCAGTCAATAGACGAAAATATTCATCTAGGAATCCAATTACTTCATAAATGTCCAAATCATGTTTGAAGTTACTTAAAAATTCCCATTGAGTCATATTAAAAGAAGTGGTGTTCAGCAAAGAGCTACTCCTCTTTTGCTTGCGATATCACTGTCAAGCTATACAGCCGCATATGTGTATATGTAGTAAGTTGTCTTAGCAACAAAAAGAATATTTCTCAAAGATTTGTCATTAGAATTGTAAATTTTCGATACCAGATTTCGTTAATGAATTAGAAACTAAAATAAGATTAAATAAGCAAGTTGAGTGAGGTAATCTAATTTACGGGTGTTGATTAGAGCTCATATTAGTTTGTTTATTAAATGTATCACACAGTGAGTGAAACGGTATTATTCACTGGATGACACAGTTTCGAACAAAATTTACTATTGTTCACAGTCATACCAATCAATTATAATCACACGACTTCGAAACTTGAGTTTCATAGTTTTATTTGTCGTCTCCTATTTGTCGTTGCTGGGGTAGTAAAATTTTCCAGATATCTGGGTGGACAGGTGTTGAGTCATTCCTATTACACGTATTCTCTCTCAATTGATTCGATAAACAAAGCTTCCGTTATCAATCTCTCCCTCCACCCCGCTGTTACATTAGATTTTAAAACTGTCATCTTATCCCATCCAGCCTATTGTATGGTTGTGTGTAACTGCATGTAGTGAGTGGTATAGCTGAACTATCCCCTAGATTTCTTATCTTATTCGGATCAACCAATCTATATTTTGCTAAGTTTTTATGCTCGCTAGTCTGACTGCCCCTGTTCTACTAGTTTGACCTGTGTATTTGACCTGACAATCATTGCAGACAGATAAACTAAATTGTTTTGTTTTAAAGGCTCCACAGGATTGATCTTTTAACCGACAAAGCTTGTTTCTAATTGAGTTTTTGGGATTGAATACCACTTTTATTCCTACTTTGTTACGAATTCTGCGTAAGGTGGTTTCCGAGGTTCCTTCCTTGTATGGAATCACTACTGATGATTTAGATGCATTATTGTTGGCGTTGTCTTGCACATATTTGACACACATGTTGTCATTATTACTATTATTATCACTATCACTGCTGTCATTATTTATTCTATTTTTACATTTCCTTACATACTTTCTGACTTAATTTATCGGGGTAATTATTAAATTTCAAGGCTTCTCTTACATGTGTCACTTCCTGTCTTAGATTTTCCTTGGTACTACTTAGTTTTTGTGCTCTGTCACTTAAACATTTTACCAATCCTATTTTTACTGACATAGGATAGGTGGGATGATCGGAAGTCCAAATATTTGTTTGAATGTGTGAGTTTTCTATAAACACCAGTGTGTGTTTAACTTCCCGTCTTCTTTCCTTTTTGCGTTGCAATCTAACATTGGAAGCTTTACTTCCTGACTTTCCAATTCATAAGTGAATTGAATCGCCTCCACCTTTGAGTTGATGTGTTCGAAAAATTTATCTATACCCTGTGTTTTAAATACAGTGAATATGTCATCTACATACCTCCACCATACACATTCAAACAGATATTTGGACTTCCGATCATCCCACCTATCATATGTCAGTAAAAATAGGATTGGTAAAATGTTTAAGTGACAGAGCACAAAAACTAAGTAGTACCAAAGAAAATCTAAGACAGGAAGTGATACATATAAGAGAAGCCTTGAAATTTAATAATTACCCCGATAAATTAAGTCAGAAAGTATGTGAGGAAATGTAAAAATAGAATAAATAATGATAGTAGCGACAGTGATAATAATAATAATAATGATAATAGTAATAATAATAATGACGACATGCATGTCAAACATACGCAAGACAACACCAACAATAAGGAATCTAAATCATCCGTAGTAGTAAGTGTTAATGAGGGGTAGAGATTTACTAAGGAGTGTGGGCCGAAAATATTATACAATTAAGAAACAAACAAGCAAGAAAAAGATGAAACTACAAAATTACGTATTTGATGTTAAGATAAGTCAGGTTCACTGTAGATTTAATAACTGAACGTTTTCACGTGTGAATTGCCATTGCCTTTGGAGTTTGAAGAAGTTTGATTTTTACCCTTTCAGTGAGATTTCCACGTGTTCTGTAGATAAATTTGAAGTTATTTTTTAGGTTTGCATGGTGTCCTGATTCCACCAGGTGTTCCAGAGTCGACCTTCGGGGAAACCTCTTTTCTCCTTTATAAAGCCACCAGGGTAAGTGTTCGATAATACGTTTGGATGACAAACACTGGATATGACCCGACAGACCTAGCTCCATAGGTGGGGCAGGTGAATTGGTAGAATCACACTGATGATCCCAACAGTAGTAGCTTATCCTTGACATTCCTTCGAATCACTAGTTTCTTAGAGAAGGTTAGTAGGAGTTCAGTCACTTCATTAACAGACGGCTGAAGATAATCATCAGAAAGCCTGAAGATGGGTTTCGTGTTTGATACCAGTCGTCAATAGGAGATATCCAAAAACCTCGAATGATCTAATGTCGAGCAGTAATGAGCTTGAAACCTAAATCATTGACTTCCTACTGACTGTCTTTAACCATCTAATAATATTCAAGTGTTGGTTTGCAGGGATTTCACTGACTCTAGACTAGATCATGGATGCGTCGGTGGTTCAACGGCAGAACTCTTGCCGACCAGGAACATGGTCCGGGGTTCGATCCCTGTCGACGAAGCACACCTGATATCAATGGATGGCCTGCAAAATTGGGCTACCGATATCACATTCTGAAAATTCCTTACTTGTACCAAAAATACGGTGTGGAGTCAAGCTATAATAAAAAAAAGTGCTTGAGATTTATTTCATCGTAATTTCGGACTCTTCAGAATCCATGATCCCCACTGAGGATCGAATCAAGAACCTTCAGGTTATGAGACAAACCCACTGATAGAATTTAGTCACCGCTAACACTTAAAACTATGTACCTGACATCAATTGCACCTCAGTGACCAGTCAGTGTATCCACTTAATCTCTTTGCCTACTGAAATTAGATATACTGAGATTATTCTCATTACTGTAAAGTGGTAAACAGTTAATTTATTAGTAAAATTTTATTATTCAGTACTGCAGGAAGGACATATTGAGGTAGGAAACTAGACCATGAAGAGAAATTCCTTAAGTGGACACTAGTGAGGAAAGGGGATTCGGGAAGATTTATAAATAAGTATACAAAAGATAATAATGGGAAATCAATATGAGAGACTGTTTCTAAAAAGATGGTTTATATAGAATTACCTTTCAAGGGAGATAATGTCACTCAAATGATGAAACGTAGCTTGAAGAAGCCAATTAAACGGACCTATTAAACAGCTTTTAAGTTGCTTATAAACACAACAAAAGGGATAATAGTACAAGCAACAAGCAAAGATAAAATATCCATCCCCGTTACATCAAAATGTATGTATCAGTTTACATGTGTTTGTGGAAGGAAATACACTGCGCCTACAGAAAGATATCTTTCGGCTTGTATTGCTGAACACTACTCCAAATGGCTATCTATTACTCCTGATGGTCTTCACAGATAACTGGGTCACACGGTATTTATTGAACTGTGATCAAACGGTGACACGTTGAATGAAACTTTTACAATTATTAGTAAGAGCAATGTAATAAAGAAACTCTCGGTTTTCCTGAAATCTGTACAGTCAGATTAACGAAGCTGGATCTCTGTATACCAAAGGAGACAGTAGTTCACCTTAAATCTACCTTGTGAGGCATACTTTTATTTGACTTTTATCACTTTTCTTCACTTCATCCTTCTCTGTTTACAATGTTTTTCTCATTATTCAAATGAAATTCTAAAATATTTGGACGCCGAGTGAGAAGTAAACATTTGTAAAATCTCAGCGATATTGAAATGAGTAATTCCAATGCTTCGTTCGGCAATCTGGTCCGAACACCTTCAGGGAAATGAATCAAAATCGAATTAAATTAACAAAGAATCTATGTAATTGGTGCAATCATCGTGCTTTCACTCTCCGTTGTCTGCAACAGAATAATGCATATCCTAAATGCGTAGCTGTCGAGTCATCTGACAACTCCAGTAGGTCGAATAAACCAGCTCATTCTTCAGAAAGAACACAAAGCAATAAGTTCGACACAGTGCTTCAACTAAACTCTAATCCTAAATACCATAATTTTGAAAATGCGTCTAATCATAAAATTCTAGATACTAACAGTTTGAACAGATATGAAGGTGTGGTGTGATGTTAGCTGATGCATAGGAAAAACCTGATTAATAAATAAAAAAATGGATATGCATCACTAATTAATTAATAATACTTGGTCAAAGTTCCCGACTGTCTACATCTTCCTATGGACAAGTAAAGAAATGTTTTACAACTGTTTACCCCCCCCCCCACACACACACATACATACTGTGTTTAAAGTGTTTAACAAAAGTAGACCAATATTTGTAAGTTCGAGGTCAAATTGTGATGACAGCTCATACAATTTTGTTTATTATACTTGCATGGAGGATTTCATCATGAGCTGACATCAGTTACAGAAACACTGGAAAACCTGGGAGTACTGGACAGCTGTTTCGTCACACTAGTTTGGGGATCTTCAGCAGTACGCACCCACAGGGGTTCGAACCCAGGACCTTCTGGTTACAAGGCTGGCGAGCTCGTAGACCATTGAGCCACTGGGACCCGATCTAATGGTCCTTGAATTCTAACTTCTGCCAATTCACGACATAGCGCGACCACTTCGCAATGTCTTCTTTGATGAGTTACTGCCTCATCTTCAACCTGGTGTACCCTACTGGTCACGGCTTCCCACTAGAACCCCAGGTTAACTACCTGATACTTGTTGATACTTGTTTTATGACTCATGATTGGACAAAGTTTTTAAAAACAAGAAACGTTCCTTTTATATATAAACCTCTGTTATGTTAATTTGGATTAATTTCCCTGAAGAATTTTGGACCAGATTGCCGAACTCAGGAGACATTGGAATTACTCATTTCAATCTCGCTTAGATGTTACAAATATAATTTTTTTACAAATATTATTATTATTGATTGAAAAGAACTGAACACTACTCACCTCCAACAGCACCAGATAAAAATTCATTAACGGATTCTTTTGGTAAAGTGAAGAATGAACCACTTAAATATTGAAAGAAAAAATAAGTTATAATTATTATTATTATAAATATTTGAGTTCCTTCTAATTACCTGTTGGTTATTAGTTTTAAATTTGTGATTAAATTTTTCTTATCAGACATTGTTTGCATAATTTACAATATTCATGTATTATTTTCTTTCATAAACGTCCACATCATGACTGCAACACGCATAAAAAATGTACATTCCACATGAAAGTGAGATTAACTTTGTAAGATAATTAAAAGAAAGACTAAATATCAAAATGCATTTTATAATTGCCATTCATATTCTATTTATAAAGAATGAAGTTTGTAAATTGTAGATGATTTAAAATCTTGTCAACCACATCTACACATAGTGGATAATGATATTTATTGATTGATTCTGAGAATATTGATTATTGTCTTCGTGATATTTAAAAAATAGACAGATTGATGAATTTGAAAGGAAATGAAATCAGATATTCATTCAAACAACTATTATGTTCAATGTTCAACGTGTATATTATATACATATGTATGTGTATACTATACATACACATATAAATACGAAAATTGACTTTTATACCAATACTTAAACACGTTCAATTTCATTGAAATTATAACATTTTTTCTCAACAATAACAATTTTCAAAAAAATAAAATATTAATAAACCAATGAATCCAGACATAAAGCTCATTGTAATTTGAAAATATTCATATTTTTAATTAACCAATTATGTTTTCAATGATTCAATGGATCAATATGGTACTTCCTTGGCGTTATTTATTCATTTATATGACTTTTTTAAAGACAAAAAAAATAATACGCCTGCTCTTTTGTTTTTAATATTATCAGCTTTATACACTAACCACATTTCATTTCATTTCTTTTTTATCAGAACACATGATTTTCTTGACTTTTATTGGGAGTACAATGACTGATTGTGAAGTAGAGTTATGTATTGGACCATAAATATCTCCTGAGGGATATAGATGTAGCGAATTTCATGGCGTAACAGAATATCTGTTTCGCGAATCCCTCGTGAATGATTTTAATTCATGGAAATTTCCCATTGTAACATATAGAAAATCAAAACAAGTAATGATTCAGCGAAGAAACTCTTTTCAACAACGAATTTATCATCAAGCTGTACAATCGTATATATATACGTATGGTTTTTAAGAAGTTATATCCGGTGAGGGAATTGAATCATAGGTGTGAATGCATAAAACAATAATAATAGTAGTATGAAATGCAATTAAAAACTAAAATGTTTGTGAGTTATGATCATAGTTAAATGTCAGGTGGCAAAACAAATTAATGTCATATATAGAATTAATTCATGGGATGGATAAAACTTGAAAAAGGGTGTGTAATTATAGGATTAGTAGACAAATCGAATAAAATATAAACGTTACATAATATTGTATGAAATTTAATAGCATAGAATTTACCGTTGTAAAAAAGAATTGATTTAGAATGACAACTGGAACAAGTGAAATAATACCGGGGACAGTTCAAAGTGAGAATAGTAATACTAACAATTGACGTAATAAGGAAGAGTATACAAATTGAATAGACAAAATGAAAAATGAAAAATTGGTAGAGCTAAAATATGATTGGGGATTACCATACTTTAGCATAGAGGGATTAAGACCATGAAAGTTGGAGGGATTGAACGAACCTTTTCTGTACACAGAGATCAACTGGAGTCCTACCATCAATCAGCACTAAACTCTTCAGCCAGTTTATTATTTCTTACAATGAAACTATATTGTTCTCCGTTATTACTATTCCTTTGTCGCATACCTCTGTTTACTGTCTCTAGTATGCATTTCTTTTACTTTCTTCTCTTGCTTTATGTGCTACATGGAGTGTGGGGACTCGAACTGCAGCACATCGGTGCGAAGTTTTATGTTGGAAAACAGACAGAAACAGACAATGTCACACAAACTCGAAGACTTGTAGCCGAGAACTAATAAACTGGCTGAAGAGTTTAGTGCTGATTGATGGTAGGACTCCAGTTGAACATAGAGAAGACCGAGGTGATGAAGATAACCAACGACCACCAACAGCAACAACAACAACCGGTACCAATCACCATCAACAGGAGAGATTTGAATGATTTCACCTCGAAATCTTTGTAGGTAGCTTTGTAAGAGTGAGACAAAAATCTGTAGTAGTGTGTACAAAAGCTTTTCTATCTGAAATAGACGTCCATAGGGTTTAAACAGCTGAACAGACTATTTCCATCGGTTACATCTATTTTTCAATTATTCATAAGTGTAAATGTCCATCAGTTATCATATTTTGAACTTCATCATAATCATATATGTGCCTCAGCAGACGTAATGACGGATCTCTCAAAAGATCTATCCACTGAAAACGTACATGGAACCGACAACTAACTAATTTTTACAGTTGGTTGCCTATTTCTAGGAAAAGGAACTTAATCCATTCACTCTGCTTTAGGATAAGGAAAATTTGTAGTTCTGATTGCGTCGACTCAGAACTTGACTTCCTGAAAGCCACACTCGCAGAAAACGGTTACCCTAACCGATTTATTGACAGCAACATGAAAGATAAGCAGCCTAAACTGGTCACCGACTCAGTTCCAAAGAAAACCTTATTCTTGAACTTGGAATTCAAAGGAGATCAAGCTTCAGATATTCTCAAAAATCGTCTTTCTAAATCAGTTAGTAAAACGTTCCCTGTAGCTAGATTACATATGACGTTCACGAGCCGCAAATTGTTCTCTACCTCTGTAAAAGATAAGCTCCCCCATCTGGCCGCCTCCATGTGCATCTATCAGTTCACCTGCTCTTGTGGAGCAAGGTACATTGGCCGTAGTCAGAGAATGCTCTCCACACGGATACGAGAACATATTCCAGCTTGGTTTTACAAGGGAGAAAGGAAATGTGTGCGTAGCTCTATCTTAGAACACCTCATCGACTCCCGTCACTCGGTCAACCCTGACCATGATTTCAAGGTCATATATAGAATTCATGCCAACTTCCCGCGTTTTCTTCGTTACAGACTTCTAAAGACAGCTGAGGCCTTGGCAATTCATGACTTTAAGCCAGACCTTTGTGTACAAAAGAAGTACGTACAATCCCTACTGCTGCCTTGGCCATAGAGGGATAGACATTTATTTATTTTATTATTCTATGTACTTTTCCCTTATTACTTCGATTATTATTATTATTATTATCATTATTATTATTACGACTCTCATTCTGAATCTTTTCCACTTGATCTACTTGACATTTTAAACCAAAAAATTATTCATGTGTATACTTTTTATCTTTAATTTTACAATATTAAATTCTATGTTATCAAATTTCACACCATGTTACGTAACATTTTACATTCGTCTATTAATCTTACAATTAATTATATGCCTCTCTCCAAAATCTATACACCTGATGTATTATCTTATATATGACATTAATTATTGTTCCACTTGACTTAAACTATGAACCTAATCACAAATATTTTAAATTTATTTCATACTATTATTATTTCATGTATTTACACCTTTGACCTAATTCCCTCACCGGATATAATTTCTTTATAAAACCATATATATATACGATTGTACAGCTTGATAATAAATTCGTTGAAAAAAGTCTCTTCGCTGAAAATTGTGTTCTCATTAGATATATATCATCTACGAATTTAATCTCGTTTTGACCTTGGCGGCTTGTTCGAATTTCTGGGCCTGCTACTATAATATCTAAATTTTCCATCCAGTCTACTGTTTACCAACATACATTTTTCACCTAAATATGAATTCTAACAGAATCATTTACTCTCGTAACTTTATTAATCATTTACGACCAAATGACTTTCATATTCCAAAGAAACCAAGGAGGAAACATCGTAGTGGTTGGCAGAGAGCTCTCAAACGTACACCAATACACTTAACTACGGTCCCCGTCATAATGAACACAAACTGTCGCTCTCTGCCAAACAAGATAATGTACCTACAATCCTTGATGTCAACTGATACGTATCATAACACCGCCATAATCACATTACAAGAAACGTGGTTGCATGAACTGTATGATGACAACCTTATCTCACTAAAGGACTTTATTTTATTTCGTCAAGACCGTCAATGTTGTAATAAGAAAAATGGTGGTGGCGTTGCAACTTTTATTCACTCCAAATGGTCTGTCTCAAATAACGTCTGCTTCACCTTCTCAAATGACTTCATTGACTGTATTACTGTCAAATGTCGCCCCAAACATCTCCCCAAATATAAACAAATCTATATTACAAACATGTACATTTCTCCTAGTTGCTCTCCATCTGATCTATCTAATTTTGCTGATGAATTCACCATGTTTGCTGCTGCCAACTTCGACAACTCTCTATCCGTTATTACTGGAGACTTCAACACATCAGATTGCTCCTTTCTTGAAGCTCTTGGTCACACAAACATAGTCAAATTTCCCACTCGACTTGACAAAACACTCGATCTAGTTTTTACTAATGACGAAGGAGTATATGAAACACGTAGACGTTCACCGATACATAACTCCGATCACTGCATTGTCCGCGTTTTGCCAAAAATATACAGCAAAACACATATTAAAATCTTCTCACACCTGTCTACGAAAGCACAACAAATAAGATACACATCTGACAACTTACTCAATCTAAGATGCATGTTAAAAGATACCAACTGGGATCTATTCTATGAAAGTACATTAGATGACTCAATCACCAATATAATGGATTATCTTAAGTTCTGCCTCGACATATGCTGTCCCAAACAAACACTGTTCAAACGCCTCGACCGCTTCTCGTCTCCCCATCTCAAACAACTTCGCAGGCAAAAAGAAATGTTATATAAATGCAAAGACAAGTTAGGACTTAAAAAGATTAATGCTCAAATCAAATCTGAAATCAAAAATCTTAATGCTATCTATAACCAAACACTTTTATCATGCAAATCTCCTAACAGCATGTGGAAATTTTTCAATGAAATTACTGGCAATAGTAAGCGATGTAATGTTTTTCCCTCTTGTGATGTTAATGCTCTTAATCTGTCTTTTATACGCTCTCCTTCTACTATAACCACTTCTAACGTTACTAATCTTGTAGCTGATAACTTCCAGGACTTCAATACTCTCGATGT